TTTTTTTTCTGTCAATAGCATTAGTTACAATTCCCACCCATTGCCGCTTTCAGAAGATCGAACCTCATCCTCTGCGAAGGGCGATCACTCAGTTGCACCAGCTTGGTAGTTGTTTGAAACTCTAAATTCTTCCAATGAGCAAACTAACTGTGGACTCCACCCGTAAACGATTCAGGAACCTCGGGACTACGAATTGTAGCCTAGGTGTAGAAAAACCTGCAAACGCAACTCCCAACTGGAAAACGTTAAATTTGTTCGATACATGGTGAGGTGCAATTCAAGGAGGTCGATAAGAAAGATTGCCAAAAAGCTTGGAATAAATCACACGTCGGCGTGTCGTATTATCAGGGGAAGCTGGGAGCTACACCTCCTCAAGGACAAAAGGTCCACCTCCTTAATGCATCAGAAAGAAAAACCGCGGAAGTGCCGAATGCTCCTTGAACGCTTCGAGTCGGCGCTACCGACACAATGTCTTTTCTGATAAGGAGTTGTTCATGTTGGAGCCAACTAACAGTTATCGAAACAAGCGAGTGCTCTTTGAAACAGCTGAAGATGCCAGCGAGAATGGTAGAATAGTGAGCACTTTGGACAGCTGAGAAAATCTTGGTTTGAGTAACCTACAAAGCCAAGGAACCACTGATTTTTATCAACAAGAACTAAAATTAGTACGGAAATATTTTGGCATCTGTGCTGAAAAATATAATCCTTCTTTGAACAACATATACTACTTCGAATCCAGACCACCCGGGCTTCAGCAAGATTCGGCACCAGCTCATAGAACGAATGCTACACAGCAGCGGTACGAAAATGTCCTCCCAGGCTTAAAAAGCGCTCTAGAGTGCAATCTAATAGTGATGAATTGAATTCAATGGATTATTCCGTATGGTCCTTGTTGGATAGTGAGGCGTGCACTGAGCAATACTACCAATCTCATTCTGAAGTAGAGATATATTCAAAGCAAGGGTAGGAATACCTACGGAGTACCACATTTTGAGGTATGAACATATGTCCTGTAACGTAATTAGATCATCAAACAGTTGCTAAAAATTAGTTTTCAAGCTATTATTTTACGGTTTTTACAACAATGGATATTTCAGCAAGGAATTTTGGCGCGCCCTGTATGACTATAATAAATGCATTCACAATCTAGATATTGCTTCATTTGCATGGCCACTAGTAAACTCGAGGCGATCCTCGGCTGGTCTTACTTATTTCATAGCAGGAATGCACTAACGCGGTACTGATGAAAGAGTCGAATGTCAGAGGAGAAGGCACCAAGCTAGAGGACATTTAGTTAAGGTCGAGTTAGAGGCGGTAGTTGTTGAACGGTGGATCATGAAAGAGAGGGGAGCCATTCGCGCGGGAGTTCTCAATAGGGTCCAGACGTAAGGTAGGGGCTACAGTGGTTTCAGACATTCCACTGGTTCTAAAACTTCGGTCTGCAGGCATCTGCGTGGTGCTGAGCGGTGTTGTTGGTTAGGAGCCAGAGATCCAGTATGAGAGAGGGTCCAGGCTCAGTAGGGTGATAGGAGCCTAAGTGGCTCGTCAAAAATAGCCTAAGTGGTTTGGTGCTTTGACATCAGTGGCCTGTTAGAAAAAACGCAGCAGTGGCTCGGTTGCTTAACGGAGCCGAAGTGTCTCAAAGGAGAGAGACGCCACAGCTCAGCTGCACAGAAAGGATCGCGCGCTGCACCTGGTATTACATCCGCTTCGTGGCGTCCTGAATCTCACTGGCACTACTCGCCTTCGGATCAACAAGAATCCTCGTTGCCACTTTATTGTTTGATTTCACTTAATATTATTATTCAATTTTATTTATTAATATTTAATAAGTTTCCAGCGCTAATGTCTTTGGCGGGACATTCAAGACACATTTGAGTGAGCCAATTAGTGTGCTTGGGACTTAGCCTTAGCCACAGAAGGGATTCTGCGGAGGATGTGAGCAATTTGCGTTTTCCCTGGCGCTTCTCCCCTCTCCTGGGCTCAGCCCTAGTGTCCCCCACCATCGGCCCTATTTTAAATGTTCCCAACCCCCCTAAGGAGGCGCCTAACATCTTTTCACTTGTATAACTCAGCTAAGGGTTACGCCCACGTCGCTGCCCACTGATCCACTTGGCATACCTTTCACGAAACCTCAGAAGATCAGCAGGATGATAAGTTTTCTATAAATAAAGGATTTATATCAATATCAGGGCTGTTCTTAGAGTTTACATCATTGACTACATTGCATCCAACCTAACCAGTCTTCGAAAGCGGTAGGTGCTACTTCCCTTTATAAAAAGGAATGAAGTCATAGTAGTTATATTCTCAGGAAAATGGCCAGTGATAAAAGCTTGAGTCAGAGGAGTTTGGATGAAAAAGAAAAGAAAGGCTTCAAATTTCGTTGGAAGAGAGCCAAGGAGAAAAACAAAGAGCTATCAAGAAGTGCGAGAAGCAAAAAGAGCAAATGGTCAAGGAGTGCGAAGAGCAAGAAAGCTAAACTGTCAAGGAGGGCAAAGGCTGGCAAAACTAAAATGAGCCGAAAGATGAAGAAAAGCAAAAAGTCAAAGGGATCGTCTTCAAAAAGTACCAAATCAGGCAAGAGTTCTAAAAACTCGAGCAAAAAAAGCACTCTTATCATGCCTTTCATGTAAGCGAAACAAAGGAGAAATCTGACAAGAAAACAACGGATTCGGAATCAAAAAGTGTCGATCAATCTGGTGGAACTTCCAAGGGTTCTCCTAAAGAAGCGCCACCTCCACTTGTTATAGCTATACCGAGCAAAAAGGAACCCAATCAGGAAACAAATGAATTGAACTCAAAGAGCCCTGAAACTTTGAGCGGAAGCTCAAGAGATTCTGCTAGTAAGAAAGGCAAGCTGTCCATGTTTTCATTCACACGAAAGAAGGCCAATAGATCGTCGAGCGACAGGGGTAAGTGAGTGAAATCCTACCCTTAAAAATGAATGCCGAATGATGGTCCGTTGCTCCAAGTAATAAGTCACCACTGGTTAAGTCTTAGTTGGGAGTGTTGGTATTGGTTTGAGTTTTTGACATTTGAACAAACATCATTTTAACTGAAGCTGAAGGGTTTCACTAGGTTACATACATATGCCGCTATATCGGTCAGTATTGTTGTCGCCCGCTCTCAAAACACCCCTCGTGAGTGATACGACGAATGTGAGGAGCAATAGACGCTAGTTGATCCAGGGAACATTTAGCCTTGTGGTAACAGTCAAATGAGTGTTGCGAGGCGCTAGGCGTAATATGCGGAGCCTTTATCCTTTAGACATAAGCCTACCTATGGAGCGGGCAGGAGCTCTATCAAAATAGATAACAAGCCAACGCAACCACAGGGTCTCCGAAAAAATGACAATGTGTTATGGGGTGCAAGATATGCATTGCCGAGGTCCACAAGGCTTCTGTCAACCAAAGGGTGAGAGCGTAGCTGGAAAAGCACACACTTTGTGTCTTATTGGGACTAAGCCTTTTGAAGAAGATAAAGAAAGAGGAGATGCTGTGATAGTGTGCACTTGTGAGAGCTCCCAGACATCACTACAAAACGCTGAACCGCCAAGGCTCACGGTTGACAGATGTCCTGAGACCGCATTACCCCCACAATGCCCCCGTATATTGCGATAGCGCCGCCGCGCTTATGATAGCGCCTCAAGCGCTGTACTCCTATGAAACCACTAATCGAAGCCGATATGTCGGTTTGCCCAGCCGTTTTGTTTGTCAGCCCGCAAAAGTGCTGGGGGTGTGGAAAAGGAGTGATAATACGATAGAAGCCCTGTGCCAATGGAATTAGAGGAAATTTTGCTTTGCGATATCATTATAATGGCCGCTTGGTTGTGATAAACCCACCATCGTCAGGGAACATCCTTACTGGCAGCGTTCTAGTTCGGGCGTCGCATAATGCGATTATCATGTTGCGGATGAGTGCGTTACCGAGGACTTTGAAAATGAGGGAATAAATGTGTAATCAGATGTGGTAGGATATTAGGCGATCCAAAGGGAGTACGATGTGTTGAGCCAATCGCTCAGATGCGCGAGCAGACGAATCAACCACATATGCAGTATTATTTCTCTGATCGTGCAGCCTCGGCCTACTACCCTCCTCGCCTAGCCGCCCTAATCGCCTAATGGACTAATCACCTGTTACGACTTAGACGCGACGTATCGCTCAGTCGCATTTCCGCATACGAGATAGCAAACTATGAGCCGCCTTACGCTCACGGTTACTACACATAGTGATGTAGGAAGGTGAACATCAGCACCTGGAAAGTAGCAATTAGTGGGAAGAGAGTAGGAGCAGTAGGAAGCGGGTGTAATGCAAAAACTCAGGACGTTCGCAGCTGTTTTGGAATGTGGTGAGACCGAATCTAGGAGGAACACCAGCGAAAGCACGCGGAGTCAATGTACCGAAGAGAGGACATTTGTTGCAATAGTTGGTACCGCCTACGGTGATACCGATTGCCGTCGGGGGAGAAAACTCAAGAGTGAGTGTGAAAACTGGAGCGGAATGCTTCTGCACCTTTAAGCCTATGAAGACTGGGATTACTGTAGACGGCACAAATTACTGCACCAAGTGCCTTTACTTCGGTGCATACTCCCAGCCATACTACGATTTCGACAATTGTCGGCTAACGAAGCTGATCTTCACGAGGAATATCTACATATATGTTATGCTGCAGCGCACCCCTGCGGAAAGGTTCCCATCGTTACCTGAACCTTTAATAGAACTTCGGTCATCGAGAATTCTTGAACAAATTTGTTGCCGTTCTCCTTTCGTCGATTGCACTGATAGTTCAGCGGCTACACCAAAAGTCGACCTGGGTCCGCGATAGGAAGAAATGGGTATGTAGCAAGTTTTCACTTGTTGTTTTCGGGCGCAGGAGGTAATACAATAATAAACGGGACCGTCGCATTTGAGAGCAATGATGGGCTCGCAAAGTACGGCGGAGTCCTAAACAACCGTTGCATTAGGCATTGGATTACTCTGTCAACACACTAGCATTTCAGAGGATTCGGCAGTCAGTGCTGGGAGATCCGCAAGGGATATTCCTTCCTCCACCAAAACCAACTCACAAAGATTGGATGCACTTGAGAAAGCCGAACGAGACATTGAAAAAGACATCATGGAAATCGCCGAGGAAAGGCGGAAGATTTGGGTGTGTTCCGCTAGACATCACATAGATTTTGTGTATTTTTCATTTACTGCAGCCCAAAAGGGCGCGGTTTTGTTAGATCAAAGCAGCTGAATTATTGGCTTGTCCCATAATTTCTGTCCGTTTTTTGATCGAATTCAAATTTCTTCAGTTCGAACTTCTTTCAAATTGATTTCATTGCGTAATATGTTGTTATGTCAAAGAAAACATACAACCAGACCGTTAATCAAGAGGTTTTGGAAAGTAAAACTCGCATTGGGATATGAAATTAGGAGTCGAAATAGATCAATGGCAATAACGAACGATTCCGCTTTACGATCCTCAAATACGCTGTTGCAAAGGACAACCGAGAGGATCACCGCTGTGTTTGGCTCAGTCTCTGCTACTGCTAATCAGGGCACTGAGCTAGTGGCTCTCTACTGCTAATCAGGGCACTGAGCTATGGTTTGGCCGCAATGGCAAGGACAACACGAGCTGTGAAAATCGCCTCACCCTGTGCCTCCACGCGCTTTCTACGAGGACTCCTTGCGCCATGATTTTTAGGTGCACACGGGCGCTAATACCAGGGGTTCAGACACGTAGGCACAGCCGATGCGCAATCGCTCGCTCTCTGTAATGAAAGGTACACGCAGCAGGACCACAGGCTGCAACCAAGGCCCAAACTCAATGCTTCTTTAAATGAATAATCCAAGATAGCTCGGCTTTGATTTGTAAGATTGAGTGGGCCATTAGCTTTCATAAACCTTATTCTGTGTGCATGATAAGTACTGCACATGCCGTCTTGGCTGGCCGCTTCTCGGGGTTGGCCGAATAGTCAGGGGAGGTGGGCGGGGAACGCGTCTCGTATCAAAGTTCCGGTAAACGCCAGACTCTACGCTTGCACTAAGTTACTCGTCAGTTTCTGAGTTAAGCATGGCGGACCCACGATAAAATGCCGCCTCGTAATACGCCCTGGCAATTTACTCATCGGGTTTATCAACATTGAACAGTGTCTTGAACCAGGTGAGAAGTAGAAAAAAGCTAATGAAAACAACCATCCCGAAAAAGACCGTGCCGATCTACAACTCCAGCTTTCCTCTCTTTGGGAGACAGCCCCCAAAGGTTTACTGACAAATGGATGCATATCAATGGTATGAATGGTTAAAATTCGATTAATCGGTTGATTATATGAAAGATGAGAAAAGTGCGAATTCGGACAGGAATTATGGGACAACCCAATATTTTCATTGGTAGATAAACTCCTGCTTCCGATCACAGAAATCAGAACAAGGATGTTAAGAAAATG